GGATTCGACCAGGAACAAGGACGAGACTTCACCGAGACCTTCGCCCCAGTTAGTCGACATACCTCTCTCCGCATTCTTCTCGCCGTCGCCGCCATGAAGAAGAAGAAGCTGCGACAGATCGATGTCGCCAACGCATTCCTCTACGCACCCGTCGACGCAGACATCTTCGTCGAGCTCCCTCACGGTACCCACGGGGAACCCAATCAAGTCTGCCAACTGCTAAAGTCCCTCTACGGAATCAAGCAGGCCCCACGGCTGTGGCAACAGCACCTGCACAACCGCCTCATCCGCATCGGATTCCGCCAACTGCCCCATGACCAGGGCATGTACCGACTCACTAAAGGCGCCAACTACATCCTACTCATCGTCTACGTCGACGATCTCCTCTACATCGGCTCCACCGACGACGTCACCACCTGGTTCGAAGGGGAGCTGCAGAAAGATCTCACGCTCACGGTTTCTTCTACCGTCACGCAGTACCTTGGACTCAACATCCGCAAAGAAGAAAACGCAATCTATCTAAGCGCCGAGAAATACGCCGACACGATCGCCAAGCCCTTCTCGCTCACCCCTACCGCTATCGCCACGCCATACCGCTACACGGCAGGAAACGGCCAAGGAAACTCCACCCTACTAAAAACCGCCGGAATACGCGACTACCAGCGAAAACTGGGCTGTCTGCTCTTCGCAGCCGTCACCTGTCGCCCAGACCTGTCCTACTCCGCTAGTCAACTCGCTACCTACCTCAAGAGGCCTGAAGCAGATCACATGTCAGAGCTCGATCGCCCACTGCACTACTTCGTGAGCACACCGACGATCGGCCTAACTTACTACAAGGGCGAAGCTACAACGACGAAACTAATCGGCTACGTCGATGCTGACCATGCCGGCGATTCTGATAACAGGCGTTCTCGTACCGGCTACGTCTATCGTCTCGAGCCTATCGGGCCTATCTCCTGGCAGTCGAGTAAGCAGGAACTAATCGCTCTTTCTTCAGCTGAAGCAGAATATATCGCCCTCTGCTCAGCCACCAAGGAAGGACTCTACCTTCGCGAACTGCTGGAAGAAGCAAAGTTAGCTGAGTTACCCAGCTTCACCCTGCACTGCGACAACCAATCTGCAATTCGCATCGCCAACAAAAACGGATTCGCGAACAAAACGAAGCATATCGCTCTGCGATACTTCTTCGTGAAAGATGAGATCGAGAAAGGAAGACTCGAGTTATCTTACTGTCCCACGTCCGAGATGGCAGCCGACTATTTGACCAAGAAGCTCGGAAAACAGAAGTTCGAGTACTGCATGCTGCTGACTGGACAAGGCCACGTCACCATCAGCGACACTCCAGAAGCGAAGGGGAGTGTTGGGAACAATAAGTCTTAAGGCGCCTCTGTCGTGTCGAAACTCAGGACACTAGCGAAGCAGTCCAAATCGAAGCATCGCGAGTCAACCCTCGGAGGTTGGGGTAACCGCCTGGAGGTTACGCGAAGGTCAAAGGTCAGCGACCTTTGACTTGACCAATATAGCGCGACAGCAAGGACACACAACTGACTCGACATTGAGCAGTTGCCCGAGTCGCACTGTATCGAATCGCAACAGTAAAACGGTTCAAATCTATCTATTTGTATTCCTTGTACTCTTATATAAACCTTGTATTTGCTTGTTTAATCCAGCTTACTTTGCTCTCACATACTAGTGCAAGGTGGTTCAACCACTCTGTATTACAACGCTTCCTCTATTACAATCCTACTCAGTCCTTAAACTCTACAAAGATCCTAGGGCTTCTCAGCCCAACAGTGAGCAGCTGAACCAGCCGGGCTAGGTCCGGGAGAGAGCCACCCGCCGAGCCTAGACGAATGCAGCAGGCTGGAAACTGCTGCTGCGGCTGCTGTGGCCGGTGTAGCAGCAACGCCGTTCGCACTGGCATCAGCATCAGCAGCAGAAGCAGAAGCAGCGGACTGAGCCTGAGCCTCGCGTTTCAAACGCAAGGCCTCATTATGTCTCGCCATTGCCTTTGCTGCTGCCTCTCGAGGAGACTTGGGGATTTCTGTGTCCCCTCCTGCTGCTCGCATCCCCGCGTTGTGTCTCGCCATTGCCTCTTCTGCAGCCTCTTTCTGCCCCCCTCCCCTCCCGGACGACACCCCTCGAGGAGACCTGGGCAATCCTGCGTCTCCTCCTGATGCCCCCACTTCTCTTGCTGCTCCTCTTGCTGCTCCTCTTGCTGCTCCACCTGCTTCTTCCCCTGCGGCTGCTGCTGCTGCTGCTGCTGCTTCTCGGATCATCAACCCTCCTCCTCCTGTTCCTCTTGGGCTTGGGACGGTGCTGCTTGGATTTACGGAGCTGAAGCTCCTTCTGCTGAGGATGCCTTGGGTGGGGGGGTTCCAAGAGACCATGTCCCCTCCTCTTGGGGACTTGGGAACCCCAGTCCCTCCTCCTGTTCCTCTTGGGCTTGGGACGGTGCTGCTTGGATAAGCTGTGCTGAAGCTTCTGCCGCTGAGGATGCCTTGGGTGGGGGGGTTCCAAGAGACCATGTCCCTGCTGCCCACCACCCCTCGAGGAGACTTGAGCACCCCTCTTGGGGACCTGGGGACCCCTGTTTCCCCCCCTCTTGGGGACCTGGGAACCCCTGTTTCCCCCCCTCTTGGGGACCTGGGGACCCCTGTTTCCCCTCCTGTTGTTCCCCCTTTGACACCAGTAGGAGATTTGATACTGGTGGGGGATTTGATACTGGTGGGGGATTTGATACCAGTGGGGGATTTGATACCAGTGGGGGATTTGATACCGATGGGATAAGATCTGCTACTGATGCGGGTAGAAATGGCAATGCTACCAGACCCATAGCTGGTACTCCTACCCACACTCTTGCTCATATCCTTGCTCATATCCTTGCTCAAGCTAACTCCTCCCGAAACCCTATTCGTAATCCCACCAGTGTCCAAATCCATGCTCACACCTAGTCTCCTGCCAGCGCCTGTGCCTCTGCTGTTGCTGCTGCTAGTGCTGCTAGTCCTGCTGGTGGTGCTGCTGGTGGTGCTGCTGGTGGTGCTGCTTCTACCAATTACTGCCACTCGCTTCACCTCATCAGCCATTCCCTTCCCTCCATTTCCCTCTCCTCCTTCCCTTCCCTTCCCTTCTTGCCCTCTCCCTTTCCCTTCCTTTCCCCTCTCTTCCTCTCCTCCTGTCCCTCCGCTCCTTCCTCCATCCCCCCCTCTCTCTCCTCCCCTTCCTTTCAACCCAGAAGAAAATGCCACAGTTCGTGGAGACAGCAACCCCCCCTCGTCTCCTCCTCTCCCTCCCCTCCTTGACCCACCCCCCTCTCTCACTCCTTCCCCTTCTCCTCCATTCATCCCAGAAGCAAACGACACTGCTCTAGGGGGAGGAGACAGTAACCCTCCAACCCCCTCTCTTCTCCCTCCCCCCCCTCCTCCATCCCTCCTCTCCCCTTCCCCCTTCATCCCAACCGTAAACGATGCTACTGTAAGTGACAATCCCCGTCCCTCCTCTCCTCCTCCGCCTCCCCACCCTCTCCCCCCCCCCATTCCTTCTCTCCCACACACTCAAGCCCTCCTCTCTACGCCCTGTGCTCGCTATAGCCACTCCTCTCCCTCCGTCTTTGCCGCTCCCCATAACCCACGCATTCACGCCGAAGTCAAGGCCGGAAAACGACTGGCACTGCCTGTGCCTGGTCATACCACTGCCCCCACTACCTGAAATTTCACCTGACGATGCCCAGCCACCTGAATTTCCACCACCTGAGACCCCATCACTGCCAGCAGCAGCGGCAGCAGTAGCACGAGCAGCAGCAGGAGCGGCAGCAGCGGCAAGAGCGGCAGCAGGAGCAGCAGCGGCAGCAGCAGCAGAAGCAGCCCTGAAGATTTCAGTTCCTCCCCTCTTCCCATCCCGTCCCGGGATGGCAAACCGTGCTTTGCTGCTCATCACACCCTCTTCCCATCCCGTCTCCTCTTCTCGTCGCGCCCTCAGTTGCTCCACTCCCCCCGTTTGCCCCGGATTTTCCCCGCCACCCGCCTCCCCCCTGTCGTCTTCTCCAGGTACATTGAACCTGACCACTTTAGGCTGCGCCTCAAACATTGCCTGTCCAGATACACTGAACCTGAGCTTTTGAGGCTGTGCCTCAGGAAACGCCTGTCCCGGTGCATCTGAGCCAAAGTCAAAGCCGGAAAACGACTGGCACTGCCTGTGCCTGGGCCTCCCACTGGTACCACCTAGTGAAACCCCACCTGAAATTTCACCTACTGAAACCCCACCTGCAACGGCACCACCTGTAATGTTACTAGCACCAGCGGCAGGAGCAGCAGCGGCAGGAGCAGCAGCAGCAGCAGGAGCAGCAGCAGCAGCAGGAGCAGCAGCAGCAGCAGGAGCAGCAGCAGCAGCAGGAGCAGCAGCAGCCCTTGGAGATTCATTGAACCTGGACTGTTTTTGCTGCTCGAGTGCAGACAAGGAGTGAGAGACCACAGGAGCAGCAATCGGAGTGAACTCTTCCTCATCCTCCTCTTCCTCCTCCTCCGCTTGTCCTCCTTCCTCCCCTTCATTCCTCCTCCAAAGAAGCACAGGGGAGTTGGACGGTGAAACGGCCACAGCAGTTGCTATAGGCGTGGCAATCGGAGTAAGCTCATCACCATCATCCCCATCATCCCCAGCATTGCTCTCCTGACTTTTGGGTCCATACAAAAGTCTCGGCATGGCAATCGGGGTAAACTCATCACCATCCTCATCATCCTCCTCCTCCTCCTCCTCCTCCTCCCCCTCCCGAATTTTGAGTCCACTCAAAATTTTTGGCGTGGCAATCGGAGTAAGCTCATCACCATCCTCCTCCTCCTCCTCCTCATCATCCCCACCCTCGTCCTCCTTTTTGTCCTCCTCGCCCTTTTCTTCCTCGTCTTTTCCTCCCTGCAGCTTTTGAAATTTCTTCAAAGCACCGACCGATTTTTCATCTGAACTCGCAACGGAAATCCCATGGCTTTGGCACACACTCATCCCACCGGTTACCCCCCTCCTTTTTCCTCCTCCTCCTCCTCCTCCTCCTCCTCCTCCTCCTCCTCCTCCTCCTCCTCCTCCTCCTCCTCCTCCTCCTCCTCCTCCTCCTCCTCCTCCTCCTCCTCCTCCTCCTCCTCCTCCTCCTCCTCCTCCTTTTCCTCCTCCTCCTCCTCCTCCCCCTCCTCCACCACCACCAATTGCCCTCAGCTCCAAATACCCAGAAAAGGACGAGAAACGCCGCCTCACTTTACGGGCCCGAGTAACCTCCCTCGGTGTTCCCGAACCTCCAGTAGCGAACCCAGCCGCGCCTTGCCAATGCCCTGAGGTTCGGTTCGAACCTCCGAGTTCTGTACCTCCATCACAACCACCTGCCGAGCCTTCGTCTCCCAAACCTGGAAGCAACATACCGAACTCAAAGCTGCTTTGGCTTGTGGGTCGAGATGATTCGTGAGAAGCAGTACTGGCAGGTTCGGGAGCAACAGCAGCAGCTGCAGCAGAATCAGAAGCAGCAGCAGCAGCAGCAGCAGCAGCAGCAGCAGCGCTACCAACAGAAACTGCATAATCGGCAGAAGCAGCAGCAGCAACATCATCAGCAGCAGAAGCAGAATCAGCAGCAAAAACATCTCTTGCAGGAGCGGCTGTATCGGCCCCTGGGTTAGAGTCAAAAGCAAAGCTGCGTCTGAAGCTGCTCCCTTCCTCCCCTCCCTTGCCTTTTCCTTTCTTGCCCCCTCTTTCTCCTTTCTCCTCTCTTCTCTCCTTCCCCCCTCCACTGAACCAGCTCGAATCTGGACTTCCTAATTCCAATGCACTCCGTTCCTCCTCCTCACCCCCTTCATCCTCGCTAAGAAACCTCTCACTATCACCACAACCACCTTCTTCCAAAACACCAACATCAGAATCACCCTTATAGATCCGCAGCAACCTCTTTCGTTCACTAGCCAGTGTGAAGCGTAAACCCATCTCAACACCTGCGCACCCCCCACCCCCATTTACCCCGCCTTCTTGCCCACCTATCCTTGCCTTACAAGGCACATCAAAAGCCGTCTCACTCCCACTCACCCCTCTCCCTTGCACACCCTTTCTTGCAATATGAGAAGTCTCAACACCCACCCCACCCCCATCCACCGCCATCTCAAAGCCCATTACACCCCCATCCAGGCTCAATTTCCTTCTGCCTTTCCAAGCTTTTTGAAGCAGCGTCTCACAATTGCTGCTCGCCTTCTTCTTGCTGCTAACACAACTGCTGCCACTGCTGCTGTTTCTGCTGCTGGTGCAGTTTAAATCGCTGGTGACGCTAGTGGTGGTGGTGCTGCTGAAGGAGGAGGAGGAGGAGGAGGAGGAGGAGGAGGAGGAGGAGGAGGAGGAGGAGGAGGAGGAGGAGGAGGAGGAGGAGGAGGAGGAGGAGGAGGAGGAGGCGGAGGAGGAGAGAGTGGGAACGGAGGAGGGGGAGAGGGTGACAGGGATACAGGCATCCGTGACAGAGAGAGCACGTCTATGCCTTCCCCTTCCCCTTCCCCTTCCCCTTCCCCTTCCCCTTCCCCTTCCCCTTCCCCTTCCACTGCCACTGCCACTGCCACTGCCACTGCCGTGCCTTCTTGCTTTGCCCACCCCTGCCACTCCACACGCTACACCTGCACCCTCTTCTCTCTCTCCATTCCCGCTCTCTTCCCCTCTTCCTCTCCCACTCTCTCCCCCTCCTCCCTCCTTACTCTCTCCCCCTCCTCCCGAACGCGTTTCAGCACCCTCCTGTTCTAGAGAGGACGTCCCATGACCAGTCATAGCCCCAGCAGCTATGCTGATGCTAGTCGTGCCACTATTGAGTGTGCTAGTAACGGAGCTGCTGCTATTGAGTGTGCTAGTAACGGGGATGCTGCTATTGGCCGTGGGAGGGGAGGGAGGGGAGAGAGGAGCCGGAACAGGGCGAGGGGAACGAAGGAGAGGGGAGGAGAGAGGGGAGGAGAGCGGGGAGGAGAGACGGGAGGAGAGAGGGGAAGAGAGAGGGGAAGAGGAGGAGGAGAGGTGAGGGAAGATGGAACGGTCAAGAGAGTAAGAGGCAGGGATAGAAGGGCCAGGTAGCTTGGGAAAAGAAGGCTTAGGAATGAGAAGAGATTGCTTTTGAGAATTCTCAAAAGTGTCAGGAGAGGAAGAGGCAGGAAGAGGGCCAGGTAATGAAGGCTTGGGAATGAGAAGCCGCCAATCCTTGCCTTTGCTTCTGCTGCTGCTGCTAGTGCTGCTAGCGTTCTCCTCTCTCACTCCCTCCTCTCTCACTCCCTCCTCTCTCACTCCCTCCCCCCTGACTTTCATCTCTCCATACGAGCACTCCTCGTTCTCACCTTTTCCGAACTTATCCCCATCAACACCATCAGCATCACCATCAGCATTAGCATCACCGTCAGCATCACCATCGTTTTTTCCAGCCCACTTAGTCCCCTTTTTAAACAGCTTCCTTAAAATTCCTTTCTTTGCCCTCTCGTCATTCGAGTTACTTCTAAAAACTCTTGAAGTGTTGCCGCCCTCTCTCTTTCCACTCTGCTCACCTTGCTCCACTCTCTTCGCCTTCTCCTCACCATAGGAGTGGCTCTTGATTACTCTCATCACCTTTCCGTCTCCCTCTCTCTGTTCACTCCTCCCTTCTTGCCCCTCCTCCGCCCTCCCGTCCCCAACTTCATCCTTCCTCATCTCCCTCCCCACCCTTCCCTCCTCCGTTTCCCCCTTCCCCTCCTCCTTCTCCTCCCTACCGCCGCCACGCACTGTAAAATGAAACCTGCCCTTCGACATCCCAGATCTATCCTCCTTCACCATCTCTCCTCCTCCTTTGTCCTTCTCGCTTTCCTCTTCCTTCCCTCTAAGTGTTTTACTTACCAGCCCCAACCCCCGCCCCAAACTGCTCTTCTTAAACCTGGACTTGCTAAGTTGTGGCGACCCGTACCTTCCGGATGGATCTGCTCCGTTGTAAGCAGATTCGGAATCGCTTTGTGGTGATCCTGTCCCATCATAAGTCATGTCTAGCAATACAGGGGACGAAGAGGATCGAGTGTGATCGACACGAGATGGTAAGCTTCCCTTTGCCTTCCCCCTCTCCTTCTCTCTTCCCTTTTCTCCTCCTCCTCTTCCTCCTCCGCCTCCTCCTCCTCCTCCTCCTCCTCCTCCTCCTCCTCCTCCTCCTCCTCCTCCTCCTCCTCCTCCTCCTCCTCCTCCTCCTCCTCCTCCTCCCCCCTCCTCCCTCACACCAACAGCAGCCAATGCAGCAGCAGCAGCGCCAGGAAGCACAGTCCCAGACGCCTTTCTAACCATCTCTTGCGCACCGTAAGGTTCGGAAAGTGGGACGCACACCACACTGCCTGCCACGTGGCACTCCGCGGAGCCGCCACGTGTGCGCTCCAACGATTCCCGAAGCTGGCTTAGAAGCATTTCATCTTTCCGCTGACTGCTGCTGCTGTTGCTGAGTTGGCATGAAGGCAAACCCATGGGCTTCTTTCCAGGCTGAATGTGCACCGTTGATTACGGAGATCGTACGGCTGAGAGTCGCAGGCTTCTCCCGAAAGGAAATGGAGCAGGGAAGGTCGACTGGATGGGAGGAAGAGAGGAAAGTGTTGTGAGGGGATATGCGGGGGTTAAAGCGGTTGGAAAGAGGGGGAAATGGGGCAAGGCAGAGCAGTATGGAATGAGGTGAGGGACAAAATGGAAGGTAACAAGTGTTGCGTGGATTTTTGGCATTGCATTGCACATTTTAGAAGGGAACATGCAGTGATTTCGGTTCCTATAAAGAAGGGAGGTGGAATGGGAAAGACAAAGCGCACAGAAATTGCATTTGTGTATGATGAATCACTGAATGATGAATCTTGCTTCGCGAATCTCGCCAAACTCACACGGCGACAAGCATCCTCGAAACTTGAGCCACTCGCGAATCTCCTCCAGACTCCTCGTGATGCGATCGTCGCCATCGTCGCATTCACTTGCGTCCCACTCGTTTCTGTCACCATCACAGGTTCGACGGCCGCCCTCCGAATCAATGTCGCTCGTTACAATCACAGTCCAGCTCGTGTGAAGGTTCGGGCTAACCACCAGAAACGACAAAAGAGCCTTCACCAGATACACCTGCCCCACTTCCACCCGCGCTCCCCCGATATCCACCACCTCTAGCGGTCCGTGTACGCTTCCCCCCGTAACGCTTCCGCCAAACGAGCGCTTTTCCGCCGTCCCCCCCGCGCTTATCGAGCGCGGGGTCAAGAGGCCGCTTCTGCCGTCGACGCGGCCGCAGCCATCGCTGTCGCAATCAGAACTATTTGTAGTAGGACTGGCGTTGCTAAAAGTACCGTCGATATCGAAGCAGCGGCAGGTTTGCGGGAGGAAGCCGACGTTCCACTGAAGGTTGTGATTATAATGAAAGGGAAGATCGTCTCCGCGCACGCGCAGCGGATGGTGCGGAGGCTCCGCCACCGCCAGCTCCACCTGCGCCCACGTGCCGCGCGGAACGGCGCAAACCATTCGGAAAAATCCGCCGCCCGCGGGTGCTCCCGCCGAATCGGCGGAGGAGCCGCTAGTGACCGCGGGCCTTGCAGGCGTTTGAAGCGCGGGAAAGAGTGTAACTCCTGCGGAAATCAAGATATTTTTGTCTAGATTGGGCGCTAGTAGCCGTCTATCGCCGACCCCTGTTTCCGTCCTCGGCGCGGCATTTGAGGCATCAGCGGCGGCGGCGGCGGCGGCGGCGGCGGCGGCGGAGGAGGAGGAGGCGGAGAGGCGCAGCGGGACCTGGTGCCATGGGGAAAGGGGGACGACGACGAGGTCTTGCGCCGGCGATGGCCCCGGCCGCGCGGGCGAAAGCGGAGAAGCGTACCTTCCGCGCTTCGCCTTCGAAGTGCCCTTGGGAGTCTGTGACGCCGCGAATGGCGGTGCGGACGAAGTGCTTATACCAGTACCACTACCCGCAGCAGGTGACGACGGGCTTTGTGGCGGGACGGCGAGTCGCGTCGCGTTCAGGAGGAACTTTCTGTATAAGAGCGACCCCGGAGGGCCGATCTCGACTGCAGCGTACTCCATGGCTCAGTGGGACCGCGGCTTGTAGCCGCTACTCGTCCCAATGCGACAGTGGGACCGCTTAGCTGTTTCTGGTCGGCTTGAAATTCGCTCGAACACGCAGCGCCTCAAAATTCGCTTGGCTGTTTCTGGTCGTCTGATTCAATTAAAAGTTCTTAGAAAGGTCCCCAAAAAACGCATGACTGTGTCACAGCGGGAAGAATGTGCTTTAATTGGAATTCTGAGGCCCGTCAAGGAAGCTACGTGTTCTATTGAGAGATGCTGTCATCCCGAAACGCGGTACAAAACTACAGTCCTAGCCGCAAACGTCTGAGCCGGCGTGTCAAGCCCAGGTGGACTTAAGTCAACGGCTGCGTATTTCTCGACGAAATGCGGATCGCTGCGATCGAGCTGCTCAGATTCTTCGATGAATGCGGCTCAGATTAGCTCAACCACAACTGAGTGCTATGTCTCTCTTCTGTTACTTGTGAGAAGTAATAAACTGAATAAGCAACGCAAGCAAGAGGCTTAGCACACAGGCAATATCGCAAGGTGCAATGGCACCAAACTACGCACGGCTGATGATATGAGACGCACCTGCTCTCCTCCCTTCGCTTGACTCAGCTACTGCAGCAAGAGCTGGCAAGAGAAACCAGACAATTTCGTCGAGTGGAGAGGAGTTTATGGGGACGTAGCCAGACATTAGTCGAATCGAGCCAAGAGAGTATGGGAGAGGGACAGCTGCAGTCTGATCAGCTAAATACTCGTTTTGGTAATAGCGAGTGGTACAAAAACCGTACAGTACGGTATCCTCTTGCGCTGCTCTCGAAACGAGCGTACCTCACGAAACCGAACTAATTACACGTTCGACCGTGCTAATTTGCGAACCGCCTGACAGCTCCCTCTGGGAGTAGCAGCGCAGGCAAAATTGCGCGACGCGCCGACGCGCGAACGTTTTTTAAATTCTTTCAACCGAGATCGCAGCGCAGATAGGGCGACCAAACCACTCGCAAATGAATCAACCAACACGCGATTTTGCGATATTGACAGCCAGTTATATGTGTAAGAATTGGTTGTCTTCCAAAATGTCACTGTTTCGCGTGGGATAATAATTGCCAGGTGGTTTTCGTGTTTTTGGTAAGAACAAGGTCGCAATTGTAGCTACATTGCCGTGACCTTACAAGTTTCGGTTGTTTTGTCTGTTTCTGATGGCGCAAAAATGTTTAATGCGCGTGTCACGTTTTTTGTCTACATGCTTAGTTTTTCTCGCCGCGTGTCGCGATTTTCTTTAACATCTACGGAGCTCTGAAAGAGCAGGGGCTGAAAAAAAAAACCCTAAAGGCAGGAACGCAATTCGGGAGGCATCAACCCTAAACACGGGAAGCATAGTGTTTAGGGTTAATGCCTTTAATGTGGTGCAATCTGGGTGGATCAACCCTAAACCCCCCTAAACGTCAAGATGTTTAGGGTTGATGCATTATATGTGTGCCTGGCTCCCTACGGGGTTTAGTTCGTTTTACACCGTACAAAATACCCAACCAAACAAAACAAACATAAGACAAGCCTTGTGTGCACGACCAGACTGAATTGATTAACACGTCGCAAATTTTGTCTTTGATAAAAGGATTCGAAACCCCAAGCTGTAATCCCGCGATTCTGAATGTAAAACAAAACTGCACCTGTAATCCCATAATAATACGTCCGCAGCAAGACAATATCGTAAAATTGCGTGTAAATCAAACCATTTGGACGAGGTTTGGTCGCCCTACCTGCGGTGCGAGTTTGGTTAATAGGGTTAAAAATGTTCGCGCGCCGGTGCGTCGCGCGATTTTGCCAGCAGCGCAGCACAACAGGTTCACGATTACAGCTGTCACCGCTCGAATATGTTTACACATGATGCTCAGCCCCTGTACGCGAATTTGCCCTGAACCGGATGGAAACTCCGCACCCGGAATTTTTTCTCAGCCAGTTGCACCCATGTTACAGGCACGTCGCGCAATGCAGTGGTTCGGAGCCAATAGTAACGAACAGACCGAAGTCAAACTTTAGAGACTGAAGTCAAAATGAAAACATATAAGTTACAAATATTTATAAGCACCTTACACATCCTTTTTGGCTAGCTGCAAATTGACAAAACTTATGCGAAATGCAAAAACAGCTTAAGTTCCCCCTTCACAAGGCAACCAGGAGTGGCTCAAACGAGCATCATTTGTAGTCTAAATACTGATCGGGACCTACCGTACATTTTGACATTTCTCGACAGAAATCACATCCAACAACACTTTTACAAGTGTGTCATTCTTAATAGATATGCGAAATGGTATTTTCTCTCTTTAAGTGGGTTTCCGTTGTACAACCATAATGTCACAGCGGGCACAAGGCTAGCACATCGCTCAACGCAAAATGGAAAGCAAAAACAAATTACAGCCAAACAAGTGTAATCTGTAACCGTACAGCCCTTTTGAACACTACACAGGATGCTCAGCAGATGTACGCGAATTTGGTCGGATATTCTTGACAGCCTGCCCAACAGCATTTAGTACCAGCCAATTGCACGCACAATACAAGCCCATATTTTGATCGTAGCCATTCAACATACAGCTTATCACGCTGGCATCCGTCCGTTCGTGAGTGAAGAAGCTGGTTACATTTCCACACCTCCCACTACAGTCTCGATTTTGCCCGTTACGAATGTCGACGAGCAGTTGAAATATTTGTTGTCCAATAAACATCTGAATGACGAGTTGCGTTGTAGGTAGTAACGAGCATCTGGTGTAAAGTATTCCGATCATGCATTGCCCTGATTTGGGATTTCGATACATCGGATCGGAACCCCAAATTTCGAACCTCCTTACCCTCGATGCTGGTTCACTTTTTTGCGCGAAGCAAATGATAACACGCGGGCGGGCGGCCATTGCAGGAGGGTGGGTGAGAACCCTTTTGGTTGTTCCCCGGCTGTCAGGCGTAACCCGCTACCCATTCGAAATGCTGGTTTTCTTTTGATGTACTCTTTGGTTTTACGGGCGTGGTAGGAAGCTACTTTTAGCGGTGCGTGCGAGTAGTGAACTGCAGCCAGGCGTTGAAGACTTCGTCATTCTTCCACCCTGTGTGTCCCGTTTTTCACGAACTGCAACAAGTGCAATCAATACATTTACGTAATTCTGATTCTGTTTGATATCGTATCAGGCAGAGTGGTTATCCCTTGTGGTGGAGCTCGACTGCTGCTCTTTTGTGGGGTACCCAGGCTAGAACGCATCAGAATCAAGTTCTAATGAAACTTGATTCTGTATCACCAGACGAGCGATATCGAAACAAGAGGCATATCATAAGCAATAGGCAGGGACCACGTGGGTTTTGTCTTGAAACTTCAGGGGAAATCCAAACTGTACTGAACTGTTAAAGGCTGCAGCGATACTCAAGCCGACGCTCTCTGTTCACAAACAAGCTGGTGGCGGTCCCTCACTCATCTACAGTTGATATCATTATAAAATGTTTTGGACCACACAATGACATGGGAAGATTTCCTCACATTCTCTCCATGGAAAAGCAATCTGTCGTTAAAGCCACAGGTCAGCATGGTAAAGTTTCAAGTTACAATATGTGGAATTGAAATAGGCTGTAGGTGAGGGTGTGCGAAACCTATTTCGGTTGTGTTGCTTTGGCGAGAACTTCATTCATCCGCGAGCAATTGAACATTTCGTGCATACCAAACCTGCGATTCCCACAACCCAAAGCGAAAAGTGAGTCGCAAGAAGAGGGGGGGACAACCAATCATAAGGTTTCGCATACGACGCATATGGAAAGTGTGGCTGTACTAGAAGTCACTGCAGAACTGATTCAACTCGATTGTCACGCCAGTACTACTAGCAACGCCACCTGCTCTACATCCCAAAAAAGTTCCCCGCAATTTTCTACCCCAAGGTCACATCAGGGTTACCCCGATTGGTGATACCCCATTGTCGCCAGCAGTGATACCCCAATGTCACCCTGGTCGAGGATTCAGTTCGTTGTCACACTGGGGTGACCCCGAGATGTGACCCTCCCGCGAAGTTTGGGCCCAATCACGTGCGTTCCCGCTTCCCGCTTAACGCGAGCCGCTTCTGCGCTGTTAACTTTCTCGATTTCAACACAATCATAGCTACAAGACAGTATTTTCTATTGTCATTAAAAAAACTATTATAATTTTCATTCCGCTATTCCCACAATTAGTATTGATATCAATCAATTACTGTTAATTTTGTCACAGGCTGCTTATTGCCAGTATAATTTGTATGCAGAAGCTAGTCGATTCCATTAATCAATCTGCACATTTTAAATAAAGCATTACAGAACACTTTGACATGTAGACAACGTGCACTATTCTGCAGATATAGAACGTTATAAAAGCTATGTTACTCAGGAGAGCTCCAGCACAACCTCACTACCCAATGTAGACGATGGTTTGCTCCTGCAACACACAAAACAAAAAAAACAGGAACACACTGTCAAAATGAGAAGCAGGAATGATGTGACTAGCTGGAACAACAGTACAAATATGAAACCCTAAACTGGTGTACCCCCTATAGTGTGACCCACTACAGCCTAGAACCACACAAACATATAATGTTTGACACACCCCCATAGGCAAAGTGGGGGAGACCTAGGGGTCCCAAGACCAGTCAAGGCAAAGCAAGGCAAACAAGCTCAGGGTGGATCTCGAGGATTCCACACAAATTCCGAGCAGTCACATGCAGTTTTATAATAGAGCAAGAGGTACAAAAATCACAACCTAGCAAGGGCAAACATGCAGGTATATATATAATGATCACAGTACAGGCAAAGTCAAGAAGTAAGCAAGTGAGGAACAGTCGGCACAAGGCCTAGAAGAGTGCAAAAACGCTGATGGTCAACAGGCGGAAGCGCCTTGGTGAACACATCAGCAGTGTTGGCCTCAGTGGCCACGTAACGCAGAAGAAGCTGACCATGCTGCTGTAGCTCTCGAGCTAGAAAGTAACGCAGAGCAATGTGCTTCGTCCTGTGCTCCA